TGTGTATGAAAGCAGAAAGGAGCAGGTTTGCAGGGGATTAGAAAAATCTCACTCTCAGGGGCTGTTTTCAGTCCTCCTTACCCCCAAGACCTGGGGTCCCTGTTTCCCATGTACACTCTGCCCTCTGGGGAGGCCTCATTCTGACAGGGTCCCATCTAGTGCATCTGTTCCTTCCTCCACCGGACCCCAGCCCATATCTCTTAGCCACTGGTAAGTTCCTCACCAGGTGACGAATTCTTGCTAAATAAAACACCAATAGGAAAACGTTAGTTCAGACTAGTCTTAATGAATTTCTGTTATTTTGGAACCTTTGACTTCAGAACTGGGTGAGCTAAAATTACCTTTATTTTGTTTTTGTTTTTACCTTTTTATTGTGGAAAGAAATACAAACATGTAGAGAGGATAATGTAAGAAACCCGGTTCGTACCACCCATCACTTAGATCTAACAATTACCAATTAATCCAGTATGTTTTCATTTTTCCCCACCCCCTGATTATTTTGAAGCAAATCCTAGACATGTCATTTTATTTTTAACTATTTCAATATGTATATCTAAAATATAAGAACTTTACAGATCACAGTATGATTTTAAAAGATGAACGATAACGTCTCAATGGCATCAAATATCTAATCGGTGTTCAGTATGCCATAGGATCACTGTGAAACTAACTGTGGAAATGTGCAGCTGCAAAAACAAGTTAACAGCTTAAAGAATTATAGGTGGGATGTTTTGACTTACTGGATAGCAACACCCATGCAGCAAGCCCACTGTTCACTGTGTTGTCTGAACTCTTCGTATTTTCATTTTGTCCTCCTGCCTAACATGAGAGTACTTTGGCAAAGGCTTTTTGTCTCCTTCATGCCATCAGAAAGGCAATACAGGGTCAGTGCAAAGAGCCTGGAATCAGACAGACGTTGGGCTCAAATCCTGGCTCCTGCTGTTAGTGGCTCAACCTCCCCGTCTCAGGGCCCTGGTCTGTAAAACAGCCCAGATGCCACCTTCGTGGGTGATGGGAAGGTTATATGAGACGATGAATCTCAGAGCCTGGCATCTGGTAAGCACCGCTCTAGTATTCCCTGAATGTTCCCTTCCTTTAAAGTTAGGCTCCTCCCTATTGTGACCTGGTTTCCTTCCCCTGCAGTCCAAGTCGTGACAATTCTCTGAACTCTTGAGTGTGAAAGGATGAGAGAGCTCCCAGGCCAGGGAGAGTTCTCAGCCTTGTCCCAGGCCCAGCTCCCTGTCTGTGCTTCCTAAATCTCTTACTTCCTACTTAGCCTCTTAGGCTGTGGCAAGGATGCTTTCTCCCTCTACCCTCTCCTGAATCTCCCCTGGGTTTTCAAAGGATGGTCACTCAGTCTCTGTGGCCCTCATGCCCACTGCTTGGCCTGGCAGCGTCAGAGAGGCGGGTCCTCTGTAGTTACCACCCCGTAGGACCGGATAACTACTCTGGATCAGGGCAGGCGGAGGGCACCAGAAGCCACAGCATGTTGGCACCCAGGGAAATAACTAGGCTGGTGCAGCCCTTGCCGTTATTGCCAGGGGCTGGCAGCTTCATTCTTTCAATAAACGGATTTATCAGCTACAGGAGGGTGAGGGGAGTTAATGAACTCTGGGAGTTCTCTTTTCCTTTTCTGAATGATGGCTGTTGGTTTAGGCACTCAAGGAATATAGAAAATGCTCAGGGGGTATTGCCCTATTACCTGTAGGGCAAAGACACTGCTTAACCCTGGTAGGAGCTGGTCTGCTGGACTGGACTCTAGGCAGTGGTATTTCCCACTATTTTCCCTTCAGTACTGAAGTCTTTAAATACTTTAACAACTCTTACCATCCTGCTAAGCGGCTCATTGTTAGCCCTGCCTGCCTGCCTCTTTGCATGCTGGTCTGGACACCTGCCTCCAGGGACTGGGTCATGGATTGAGCACTTACTACCTGGCAGGCACCCTGCTTCACACATCTTGTCTTTTAAGACCTCACAAACGCCTCTTCCAAGTTCCACAGGAGGTAACTAAGGCACAGAGCTAGGAAGAAACCAGCCAGGGCGCTCTTAGCTTCCCGCTGGATCCTCCCAAGTCCTCAGCGCACTCTGGTCCAGCCCACACTGGGCCTTCTTTCTCTAAGTGTGTGTGGAATGAATGAGACAGAGACCTAGGAAAGGGAATGCGGGTTACAGTTCTCAGCAACGCCCCATGTGCTTTGGGCCTGAAAGAAATTAGGTAGCACCATACTTAATAGAAACCAGGCCAAGGGCTTAAAAGACAAAGGTTCTTCATGGCCTCTGTGCCTCCCTGCCCTGCCTGTTGTGTTTTAATCAGGGCTGGGGGCTTTGCCGGAAGGAGGCCTGGAGGGGCCTGGAGTGGGTTCCCAGGGTGAGGTGTGTGCCCTGGAGGGCTGGGTGAGTCTCTGCTGGTTGAGGGTGGGGGAGGGCTGCCAGGACGTCTTTTCTTTCATTGGTTGGGTGGCCCTGCCCTCCTCCCCCCTCCCTCTCCTGGAACATTCCAGACATTCCAGACAATCTGCCTGCCATTGCTTTCAGGATATGGATTAACATCCCAGCAGAGATTTGATTTCAACATTGCCACCCCTCTTTCCCTCCCTTCTCCGCCCCCAATGAAAAGAAAGCCCCTAAAACTGGGAGTTCGAAGTGAGAGGGAATTTTTGACCTTTGACCTTAGATTACACTAAGGGACCATCTTGGAAGAGCACACTTCAAACTGGGCTGCTAAGCTCCTGGGGTTGATGTAGGCCCTTATTGGTTTGAACTCCCAGGCAGGCAGCCCCCACCGCCCTGCCCCTCATCCAGAAGTGCTCACTGCAGGTGGGCAATACCTGTTACGGGTGTTAAGCTAGGTCAGTGTTCTCAGTCTTCCAATGGTGTGATCATTTTGTTCCCCCAACTCTCCAGCAGTTTGGCCTTTATTGTGAGGGTTCTTGCACTTTCAGTCTGTCCATTTGGTCACCAAAGGAGTTGTGTGGGGAATCACTCACAAGGGCAGATGTGGTGCTCCCACTTGGCCAATGAATGGAATCACAAAAAAGTGCCCTGGTGGGATGCGAGGACCTGGAACTGGATTTGTTTTTGATCTGTACTATTCCATCTGCTATAATCTGACCTCCTTAGGTCAAGCTGATGGGCAGACCAAAGAAGACAGGCACAAAGGTTCTCTTAAACACTTACATCGTCTCTTCACCAAGTTATTTCATCCCAGGAAGAGATTTCCGTAACATGTTGTATGGATAAAGACTCTCCACACAGAATTGCCAAGTTAGGATGGATCTTAGAGACCCTGCTTATTCCATTTTACAGCTGGAGACATTTGAGGGGTGAAGTGAGCTGGCCCAGGACAGCCAAGGGTGACACACTCACAGCTAGGACTTTAGCATCCCCTTTCCCTGGTCCCTTGTGTTTCGATTCCCCCCTCCCCCCAGCTTGGCCTGAGCTGGCACAGTCCCCACTGCCTATCAGGTGGGAATACTGAGGCCTGAATCTTAAGTGGCTTAATCTGGGGCAGGTTAAGGCAGGTTAACTTACTTTCTAGTTCAGCTTTTGCTTTTGTTCTAGCCACTAGAATTTCTTGGACCTTCTCCTTGAACTAAGGGTTTGTGATTAAGGATATACAAAGACATCGATGATAATTGACCAGCACATCAAGTCAATTTAAAAGTCTTAAACCCAGGGATTTAGGCACTGATTTGGGAGGTGAGCAATTGCCCTGGGAGTCAACCCTGAACCTGAAAGCCTTCCTCGGGGAAAATCACAACTTTTAAGAGGCATTTTAAAATGGGAAAAGATGGGAAAAGGTAAGAAGAAAGTACCATATAGTTAACTGGGATGGGGAGGTGTTCATTACGCTGAGTTATGTGCCCTGTTTATCACTCATTAATCAGTCCCATCCACCGATATATTACAGATGCACCTGTTTGCACAGTTGAAGTACTGAGTCCAAGCCTTTTGCTAAACTCTATAAATACTTCCTAACACCACCTACCACTCTGAATAGGTAATTTCCCTGTTTTACAAAGGAGGAAGCTGAGCCTCAAAGAAGTTAAATAATCTTTTAAGATCAGTGCTGGTAAGTGGAACATAGGTTGAAATCCCTATCCGTGCCAAAGGCTTACCCCTTGCACCGTCATCTTGCTGTACTTTGCATATGATGTCTCCCCTAATAAACTAAGCACCTCGAGGCCAGGCATTTTGTCTGTTTTCTTTTTTTTTTTTGAGACAGAGTCTCACTGCGTTGCCCGGGCTAGAGTGCTGTGGCGTCATCCTAGCTCACAGCAACCTCAAACTCCTGGGCTCAAGCGATCCTTCTGCCTCAGCCTCCTGAGTAGCTGGGACTACAGGCATGCGCCACCATGCCCAGCTAATTTTTTCTATGTATTTTTAGTTGTCCGATTAATTTCTTTCTATTTTTAGTAGAGACGGGGTATCGCTCTTGCTCAGGCTGGTTTCGAACTCCTGAGCTCAAACAATCCGCCCGCCTGGGCCTCCCAGAGAGCTAGGATTACAGGCGTGAGCCACCGCGCCCGGCCTTGTCTGTTTTCTTGATTGCTGTGTCTCCAGCATGTGGAACAAAGTACTGCGTGAAGTAGATACCAACTAAATAGTTGTTAGATTAATTAATCATTAATTATGTCTTATTTAGCTTGTATTTCTAGTGCCTGGAACAGAGTAGTGATAAGATGCTTGCTGAATAAAGGAATGAGTGAGAAAATAGTGAGACAAACAAAACAGCTGTGATTTTTTTTTTTAGGGATTTGTGGATGCTTGCCGCCGTCTGATTCTGCATTCTTGTCTGTGGTAGCACGGATAATAATTTTGGTCTCTTAAGTGAGGCATCCCTACTCCATTCCTAAGAGGTTACCATTCTTAGATTCTAAGACTGTGGTATTGGTGAGCAGAATGTAGGGAGAAAGAAACTGGGACAAGGATTAGAAATTAAGGTCACAGGATCCTGAAGCATCCAGAGCTTTCTCTAACTGTTCCCTCTTTAATTTCAGGAGTCGGAAAATTCAGATCCGAAATATTCCACCCCAGCTCCGATGGGAGGTAAGTTTGAGGGAAACTCAATGGGGTTGGTTAGTGGAGCCTAGGAAGGAAGTCTGCATCATTCTGCCTGAGTTGGCAGAAATGGCTGGGGAGGTTCTGGTCTGGGCTAGAATGTCCCCACTGGGTCTCACCCTTAATCCAGAACTCCACCTTTTGGGATGTCCTAGCGGTAAGAGGCATTAGGGAGGTGGGAAGGGTGTTCCCTGAGCCCTAAACTTGGTGACAGCAGAAGTTGATGTAGAACCCAGGTAGCCCAGTTCTGCTTTCCCAAAAGCCCTTTATGTACATAGCTCAAGTACATTCCAGATACCCCTCAGCGTTAGTACCTCAGAAAGGGCAAACTGAACAGGTAATAATACTCAGCCCCACCTGTGGCTCTGCTGGTGCCCACTGCTTTGGGGTGTGAGGTGTCCAGTGGCTACTTTGCAACACTCCTGGGATGCTCAGAGTACCTTTCCTCCTTCCTCCATGCTTCCAGGTCCTGGACAGCCTACTGGCTCAGTATGGTACAGTAGAGAGCTGCGAGCAAGGTAAGAGTGGGCTGTGGGCCAGGTGAGGAGGGTATTTGGGGGACCTGCTCTGCTTTACTTTCCACGATTGAATCTACCTGGAGACCAAAAAAAGGAGAAAGAGAGGGAGATACACTGGCCTTGGAGCCCAGACACCTGTCCTTGGCTTTGGCTCTGCTGCTTGGCACTGGAACCAGGTTTCTCTTCTGTTTAGCAGGCGGCTTGAACAAAGCCACTCCTTCCCAACATGGAATCTCTAGGCTCTTAGGGATCAACCAAGGTAGAAGTGGATGCCCCAAGATTTTAGAAATAGTTTAAGAATAGAAATTGTGTATTCAACCTCGGTAAGTCTGTAGCCCTTTTACTTTAAAAGCTTCATTATTTCTTGTTTTTGGCTGGAATAGTCAACTGGTCATTACTTTCTTGTTAGAAGTTCTGATTGGCAGCTGCCTATGTCTTTGGTCAATTAAAATGAAAAGCAGAGAGGATTTATTACTTAGTTAATATAGTTCGATGGGTAGGCAAAATCAATGAAGAGTGGGCCCACAGAAGGAAAAATAATAAGGAATTCTAGGTCATAAAAAGTTTGCTTTTTTTTGGATGTTTCTCCATTATGAAGATTACAAATTCTTTTCCGAGGAAATGAGCCTCAATAAAATGCGGAATGGTTTTGGTTGGACATAAAGTGGTCTTGATACTGGTTAAGGTTTGGAGATCTCAAGAAATCTCACTTTTTGAGATTTAAATACTCATCTCCAAATTCTTTGTGGAAAGGGGCAAGCTCTAAGTGATTATAAATGATGACACTCTTCGTCTGCCCGAAGGTAAAGTGCTGAATCTGTCAAACAGGTTCTAACCTGCCCTAATCCTGTAGCTTGCCTGTTATCATAAATACCAGGACACAAATGGACCCACTGATAACCACTGCCCGGTACTGTTCACAGCTTTGACTAATGAATAAGTCACTCCTGGGCAAATAGAGAGTAAGATTGAGCAGTGGCTTGGGAGCAAGTGCATGCTGAGCTTCACTGAGAACTGCAGCAGGAGTCAACACCGGTTCAAATTTACCCAAGGCTCACTGGGGAGGTGGGGAGCTGTATCTGGAAGGGTATCTGCTACCTGGAGAGAATAGTATGGGAAATGTTTGACTTTGTTGGACAATAAAGGAAGTCCTTGAGTCTGTTTAGATGTCGCTAAGTGAGATCTACCCTATTTAAAACTGCCCCCACTCCATCCTCTTCAGCCTGATGTTTATTTCTCCATGGCGCTCATTGCTGTCAAATGTTCTATGGAATTTGCTTATTTATCATGCTTATTGTTGTCTCCCTCTACTGGGACACATGCTCTGGGAAGGCAGAGGTTTTGTTGGTTCACTACTGTATTTCCAGTCACTGGAAGATTGTTCTTGCAGGACCTTCCTCCTCCCTAAGGTGGGCAGGCCTGAGGGGTGAAGAGTGGTCTGCACTGTAGTGTCTTATCTCTCCTCAGTGTTGTGGGAGCAGAGGCTTGTGTCCCAAGGTTGAGCAAGCCCAGGGGACCCTAGTTCACAATACATCGATACGTAAGAGACGTTATTTTTTTATTTTTTGAGACAGAGTCTCACTCTGTCATCCTGGGTAGAGTGCAGTGGCATCATCGTAGCTCACTGCACCCTCAAACTCCTGGGCTCAGGGGATACTCCTGTCTCAGCCTTCTGGGTTACTGGCACTATAGGCACACACCATGACGCCCAACGAATTTTTCTATTTTTAGTAGAGACAGGGTCTCGCTCTTGCTTAGGCTGGTCTCCAACTCCTGAGCTCGGGTGATCCTCCGCCTCTGCCTCCCAGAGTGCTAGGATTACAGGTGTGAGCCACCACGCCTGGCCCGGGGAGGTTAATTTTTAATTGGAAGTGAAAAATATTTGCCCGGATTGCTTGGAATGCTATTATCAGCTTTGCCAGCCCATTCTCCTCTATGTAGGAAAAGAGTAGATGAGGAATCAGATGAAAGTCAAAAGATGCTCATAGTTAGAGCTAAGGAGCTTGATGGGATTAATGGCTAGAATCCCGAAGCTACAGTGGCCCAGTGTGTCCATGTTCACTGCCAAGATGTTTGGAATACTCAAGGCAGGAAATCCTTTTTCCTGGAAAAGATGCAGATAGATTCTTTTATTTTTCCTTCTAGACTCCACAACAGCCACTCCTGTCAGTCCATTTGGCTGAGTTAATACACTGTGTCCTTGAGGATATAAAGGCCTCTAGAATGGATTTGGGTGTTCCCTATGCATCTTTAGCCATATCTTTGCAGACCTTTTCTTAGGATGTTTACTTCTATAAATTGCTAATCTCACCCAGTATGTGTTGATTTTTCACTACTTTAGTTTAACTTTCTACAGGGAAATTGACTCCCAGGTTGGTGTGTGTGTGTGGTGGTGGTTGCCCTGCTGTACAACTGCTGATATGGCAGCTACACCCTTTTATATACCCACTCCCTTGGGAGCAGGGCGAGAAAACCAAAGGAAAATGCAAGAAGATTAATTTGAATTTTCCAGTAGCCCAGGTGAAAGCGGTCTCAAGAGAAAATGTTTTTTTTTGCCTCTTCATTCTAGTATTTCCTAAGTTTAATGCCTTCTTTTTTGAGACAGAGTCTTGCTCTATTGCCTGGGCTAGAGTGCCGTGGCATCAGCCTAGCTGACAGCAACTTCAGACTCCTGGGCTCAAGTAATCCTTCTGCCTCAGCCTCCCGAGTAGCTGGCACTACAGGCATGCGCCACCATGCCCGGCTAATTTTTTTATTTATATATATATTTTTAGTTGTCCAGCTAATTTCTTTCTATTTTTAGTAGAGACGGGATCTCACTCTTGCTCAGGCTGGTCTTGAACTCCTGACCTTGAGCGATCCTCCCGCCTCAGCCTCCCAGAGTGCTAGGATTACAGGCGTGAACCACCACGCCTGGCTAATTTTTTCTGTATATTTTTAGTTGCCCAGCTGATTTCTATTTTCAGTAGAGACGGGATCTCACTCTTGCTCAGGCTGGTCTTGAACTCCTGACCCTGAGCCATCCTCCTGCCTCAGCCTCCCAGAGTGCTAGGGTTACAGGCGTGAGCCACGACTCCTGGCCAAGTTTAATGCCTGCTTGACCTCAGAACATGGAAGGTTGGGGTTGGAATTCGATAGTGGGGCCTCCAGATTTCCCTGCTCTGATGCCAGCCTCTGTTTACTCTGCAGTGAACACCGAGAGTGAGACGGCAGTGGTGAATGTCACCTACTCCAACCGGGAGCAGACCAGGCAGTGAGTGACCGGGAAAGTGGGGCTGCGGGGGTCTCTGTGTGGTGTTGGGAGCCGGGTCCCTCTGCTTCCAGGGTCCCTGTGCTTCCATCGGGGGTCCAGGCAGGCTGGGGTCCCCAGCTGGCCTCAGATTGTGGGCCAGCCAAACCCAGACTCCCTTAAAGGGTTTTTTCAGGGTGTGTCTCCTTCGTGTCCTTTGTTTCAGGGATCTCAAAGGTTCAGAAACTCTTCTGGATTGACAGCAAAATACATTGAAAGGAGGGACCCAAAGCCTTCCCAGGGGAAGTGGGAAGTCAGAGAAAAGGTCCATTTCAGATAGTCTCTGGTTGCCCGGCGCCGCGGGGTCCTTTGCTGTGTTCATGGCGCCATCTAGTGATGGTGAGGGGGAACTGCGGGGTTTAAAAAGGGTTCGTTGAAGTTGCCATGCGGGGCAGACATTTCATTGCAGTGATGATTGTGAACCCAGTTGAGGATTTGGTAAGATCCTCCCAGTCCCATCGCACCCACAATTTCTAGCTCCTTATCCCTTTGGTTGAGCAGTTAATTAGGATTCTCACCCACTGGTATAGACAGACTGCCTATTTTGTGCATTACTCATTTAAAATCACATCTGACCTGGTTATAGGCTTTTGTTACATTGTGCTTTTGGTGTTTTTCTTGCTTCTTCATGTGCTGCCTCCTCCAAGCTAGCAATACTTTGTAAAATCCCACCACTTTCTCAAACGCCTACCGTTTTCTTTTTCATACCTCCCGGGCTCGGAATTTTTCAGAGATTCCTGCTGCCCCTTGTAGCCATGTAAGATCCTTTGCCCGACTGTAAAGATCATGTCAGCACTTGCTCATTCCTTATTGCCTGTTGTTGCTTGCTAACATTTCTAATAACCACTGCCAGCCTTGGGAATGGTTGATGCTTGTCCCCTCCCTTCGATCTTATTCAGCCCTATTTACAGATCTCCCAAACACTGAGACTCTAGTCTCCAAGGGATGAGCAATCCATTCTGTCTCCGGTTCTTCCTTATTTTCCATGTAGTTTTCATTAACCAAGAGAGGTGCCAGACTCTCAAGAGGTTTAAAAACAACAAATCCCTTAATTTATCCCATGAGTTTGCATGTGATTCTTACATGAGTCCTATAAGAATGAAGTTTTGGCTGAAACTGACAAGCTGATCCTAAGATTCAGTGTGAGGTAATGCAAGGGACCCAGAATAACCATAAAAATCTTGAATAAGAACAAAGTTAGAAGACATTAACTTCCAGATTTGAAAATTTATTTCAAATCTACGGTAATCAAATCAATGTGGTAGTCGCATCAAGATAGACATAGATCGATGGCACAGAATTGAGAGTCTAGAAATAAGGCCTTACATTTATGATCACCTGGGTTTTTTTTTCTTCTTTTAAACATATGTGCTAAGAAAGTTCAATGGGAAAGAAACAGTCTTTTCAACAAATGGTACTGGGGCAATTTAATGATATTCACAGGTAAAAAGATGAATTGAATGCCCTACCATAACACCATACATACACACAAAACTCAATATGGATCACAGACCTAAATGTACTAGCCATAAGGTAGGCAGGGCACAGGTATTAATATCAATTTCCCACTTTATAGCTGATGAGACTTAGGTCTAGACTAAGTTGTGAGTTACCCAGTTCACGTAACTAGTGAGCAGTGGAGTTAAGATTGGAATACTGGTGCTCTAACTTAATTGAATGTTTTTGTCCTACATTTCATTAGGGTATGGCAGGGCCAGATTAACATTTGGATTCTGCATACATATTAATATATTTCAGTCTCTTTTGACCTTGTTTTCATTAGCTCTTAGGTCATTAAATATGAAATATCTGATTTCAAATCAAAAGTTTAGTTTATTATATCTTAAACAAGAAGCTGTACAATTAATCAAAGTATGTACCTAAACTATCCACACAGTTTTGCCATCTTAACAGTTGCTTGTTTATGTCAGCAAGTGAAGAAGCCTGGAGATTGAGCGGCAATGAAATTGTGAAAGGTATTTTCCGCAGCTTGTTGAGCATTGAATATTTTTTCTTGCAAGAAGTGGGCCAAAGCCTGGAAGAAGCAGTGGTAGTCAGTTGGTGAATGCAATGGATGACAGAAAATTTCCAAGTCCAGCCTCTGTAGTTTTAGCAGCGTTGTTTGTGCAACATTTGGTGGAACTTTGTCTTGCAAGAGTGACCTGTCTCTGTTGACCAGTCTCGGCTGTTTAATCACAGGCATCCTCATTATTTCATCCAGCTGGTTGCAGTAGACATCTGCTGTAATGGATTGACCATTTCGTGAAGCTATAGTGGATAATTCCAGCACTGAACCACCAAATAGACACCATTAGCTTTTTTTGATGAATATTTGGTTTTGGACTGTGTTTCAGCACTTTCTTTGTCTTTATCCAACCATTGTGCCCAACGCTTGTGATTATCAAAAAGAATCCCTTTTTCATCACACATAACAATATGGTGTAGAAATGGTTCGCCTTTATGTCTTGACAGCAAAGAAAGACAAGCTTCGAGACAATTTCTCTTCTGACACTCATTTAATTCATGCGGTACCCGTCTGTCCAGATTCTTTACCTTGTTGATCTGTTTCAAATGGTCCAATATTGTTGGAATAGTAATGTCCAACCTTGCTGCTAATTCATGGGTAGGTTGAGACGGATTCGCGTCCACTACAGCTTTCTGCTCATCATCATCTACCTTGGTCTTAGGTTGCCCACGTGGCTCATTTTCAAGATGAAAGTCACCAGAACAGAACTTCTCAAACCATTGACACACTGCGTTCAGTAGCTGCATCCTTCCCAAACACTTTATTGGTATTTTGAGCTATCTGTGCTGCATCGGTTCCATGATGGAACTCATGCTTGAAAATTACACAAATTCTTTTATTTGTCTGTGATTTCACAAAGATTGCTCTAAAAAAAAAAAAAAATTTGAAAGATAATCACAAGCCAAACTGTGTGTTTAAAAAATTGAGGGTGTTTCTTCACAATAAAAATAATATAAGAAGTGTGAAAGTAAATGTCAGCAGTATTAACTGTCTAACTTAGTACTTAAGGAAATTCGACATTTCATACTTAACAGCCTAATATAAGATTAGGATTTTGTAGTAGTTAGCATTTTGGTAGGACTCTTCAATCCAGAAGGTGTATGTGTCAGCGTTGTCGAGCCCTTTCAGGTACATGGTATGCTCTCCCACTGACATGGGAGTTCTTTGAGATCTGTGCTTAGTCTTCCTTTTTAAACTGGGAGCACCCTATACTCCCTGTTGGACTGGGAGCCCATCTCTCTGATCATCTAAATGGAAAGCCTTTGAGAACAATAAATCCCAACCAAATGTCAGGAATCACTATATCTATTTGCTTTTCCTTGATGTCTTTGATGCCATTTAAACTGGAAGGTCCTTGAAGGTGGAGGTGGGGGTGGTGGGCAGGTGGTTTTCTCCCTTTTTTGAGTGTGTTCCAAGTTGTAACTCTGTAGAGTGCTTTGCCAGAGGAGAGCACCTGATGTGATTGGCTTGGATAGGCATGACCCGTAGACTCTTCATCTATCCCCAGAGCCATCATGAAACTGAATGGCCACCAGTTGGAGAACCATGCCCTGAAGGTCTCCTACATTCCTGATGAGCAGATAGCACAGGGTCCTGAGAACGGGCGCCGAGGAGGCTTTGGCTCCCGGGGTCAGCCCCGCCAGGGCTCACCTGTGGCAGCAGGGGCCCAAGCCAAACAGCAGCAGGTGGATATTCCCCTTCGGCTCCTGGTGCCCACCCAGTATGTGGGTGCCATCATTGGCAAGGAAGGGGCCACCATCCGCAACATCACAAAACAGACTCAGTCCAAGTGAGTACTTGGGGAATGGAGGCTGGGTGCTGGGGACTGTGGCTGGTACCTGAGGAGGCTCTTGGAAGCATGCTGGGGGCATTGACATTTGGCTCCTAGGAAATGTTGCTTGGAACATTCAGGGGTCACTGCTCGCAATCTCAGCCTCCTGGGTAAGGGTGGGCGGATGGGGAGGGAGCATGGGTCTGGGCTGTGACATTGGTTGGCCCCACACACTCGTTAGCAAGAAGGGTTCTATAAATTTCAAAAAGAAAAGGCTCAAGCAAACCCAGCCTTGGTGAGTCATCCACTCCTCAGTGCTTTGATTTCATGACCGCTTTGTGGATTGGCCACCCTGCCCAAAGTCGGGACCCTCAGCAATAGGTCATAATTATGTCCCAACTCCCCATTCTGCCATAACCACTCCTTTTCTCTAATTTTTATAAGCTGATCAGTATACTCAGTGGCAAAATACAGGTCGCATTATGTCCTTATTCATGGTAAGTCCCATTATTGTTTAGTTTAAGTTTGGGACGATGTGTCTTCCCTTTATATTTGTTTCAAGGGAAACATAAAGAATTTTTTTTTTTTTTTTTGAGACAGAGTCTCACTGTGTTGCCCAGGCTAGAGTGCCGTGGCGTCATCCTCGCTCACAGCAACCTCAAACTCCTGGGCTCAAGCGATCCTCCTGCCTCAGCCTCCCCAGTAGCTGGGACTACAGGCATGCACCACCATGCCCAGCTAATTTTTTCTATATATTTTTAGTTGTCCAATTAATTTCTTTCTATTTTTAGTAGAGACGGGGTCTCGCTCTTGCTCAGGCTGGTTTCGAACTCCTAAGCTCAAACAATCCGCCTGCTTCGGCCTCCCAGAGAGCTAGGATTACAGGCGTGAGCCACCGCACCTGGTGAAACATAAAGAATTTAATGGGACATGTAGCTTTAGAGCTGTGGGCTGGTAATCCCCACCCTTGCATCCAGTGGTCCCCAACCTTTTTGGCACCAGGGACCGATTCATGCAAGACAATTTTCCCACAGACCAGGGATAGGGGGATGGGTGTCATGGATGGGGGGAGGGTGGTGCAGAGCTCAGGTGGAAATGCACCGCCCGTTTCCTAACAGACCATGGACTGGTGCTGGGCCTCAGCCTAGAGGTTGGGGACTGCAGCCTGCCTCTGTGTGATAGACTGAGACAGTCTGGTCTGCAACAGAATCCAGAGTAACAGACTGGTCATATTTCTCTGGCCCTTTCTTTGCCCTTCCTGAATCTGCACTCGATCAGCCTTGTTCTAAGAAGAGCAGGTTTTATGTCTTTGATAGAGGAGAGGTGGAGTGAGCCTGAAGAACTGGTGCCCCTGGGGGCTGCTAACCACTGTTGTCCTTGTGGTCCTCAGGATAGACGTGCATAGGAAGGAGAACGCAGGGGCAGCTGAAAAAGCCATCAGCGTCCACTCAACCCCCGAGGGCTGCTCCTCTGCCTGTAAGATGATCTTGGAGATAATGCATAAAGAAGCAAAGGACACCAAAACGTAAGGCTCCAGCTTTCCTTGCATCTTCAGGGACTGCCAGCCCCCCTCCCCTCAAACTTGTTAATGGCAGTAACACAGAGATATAGGAGACAGGCAGAAATTGTATAAAAAGATGTAAACTGAGAAATGCCCTTCTCCTTCTTACTCCCCTTGTATAACCTTGAAATTCTGTGCACTCACAAGGGTGTGTGTATTTGCATGTGTGTGCACATTTGTGTATATCTCTAAGGGGATCATACTGAACATGCTGTTCTATACTTTTTCATTCTCTGTATCAGTACTTGTCTCAGTACGTATTGACATCCCTCATTCTTGTAGCTGGATAGAATTTCACAGTTACAGCTGTTCTTAGTTCATTTAGCCAATCCCTGGATTTCTTGATGGGTGTTTGGATTGCTTTAAAATTTTCCTTATAGAAAACAGTGATGCTACAGATTTATACAAACTGGGAGAAAAAAGAAAAAAACAGTAACGCAAGGAATCTGTTTATATATGTTCCTTTGCACACTTGTCCTTTAAAAAAAATAGCTTTATCGATGTTTAATCGATGTATAATCAGTCACACACATTTTAAAAGTGTGTTGTATGATAAGTTAAAATTTAAAATGTACGTACCTATACAAGCCACCATCACAATTAAGATAAAGAACATGTCCTTGTGCTCCTTGGCCGTCGCTCTCTGTCCCCAATTCCCTTATCACTAAGCAGCCACCATCTGCTGATTTTGTAACCTTTTACTTGGAAACACCCGCTCTGGGCTGGGTGGTGGCTGTGCCTCCCCGTCTCCTGCTGTTGAAGGAGCTCTTGTCTTCCCTGTCTTCCCCAGGGCTGACGAGGTCCCTCTGAAGATCCTGGCCCACAATAACTTTGTGGGGCGTCTCATTGGCAAGGAAGGGCGTAACCTGAAGAAGGTGGAGCAGGACACAGAGACGAAAATCACCATCTCCTCGTAAGCCTCCCTCCCGTGTCTCTCTCTGTGCGTGGGAGACGCACTGTGGCCCGGGGCCGGCAGTATCTCATCATGCCCCCTTAAATTGGGTGCTGTTTCCTGCCTGTTGAAGGAAAATAGTTAAAGAAGTGGTAAAAAGCATTCTTTTCTTTGAGCCAGAGTATCACTCTGTTGCCTGGACGAGAGTGCAGTGGTGTCATCATAGCTTACTGCAACCTCAAACTCTTGGGCTCGAGTGATTCTCCTGTGTCAGCCTCCTGAGTAGCTGGGACTATAGGTGTCCGCCACCACACCTGGCTAATTTTTATATTTTTTTGTAGAGGTGGGGTCTTGCCCTTGCTTAGGATGGTCTCAAACTCCTGGCCTCAGCAATCCTCCCACCTTGGCTTCTCAGAGTGCTAGGATTACAGGGGTGAGCCACCGCGCTTGGCCAAGAGCATTTCTCTCTCTCAGAGTTGGAGCTCGCCCATTCCCACTGCCATGTGGGTTGTGGGGGTATTGTAGGGGCTGCCTCTACGGGATTTTCCTGCCACATCACAGCCTTCTTCTTCTGCATCTCGAGGGCAGCCAGCAGCTAGGAGCCAGGGCTTTGGGGTTTCAGGCCTGTCTGCCACCATGAGAAGTGGCCTGACCTCAGTCCCTTTCTGTTTGTGTCGTGGGCTGCCTCTGCACACGCTGTGCCTCCTCATTTCATCAAAGACTAGCCTGTGGGCAAAGCAATGGTTCTCTTCCAGAAAGGTGCAAGAAGCGGATTGCATAGGGCCAATGGGGAGACTTGGTGGCACAATCCTCCTTCCTGCTTGACCAGCAACATATCCCATCTGTGACTGGATTTGTTGCTAAGGGAGGGGTCTCAGTTAGGTATTTTCACCCCTCTGCACTTCACTTCCCGCCCTGGTTACAAACTGGGGACACGGAAGGCTGGAAACAGAGAGTTATGCAGAAATGGGGGACCCGTGACCCAGTTGAGCTCTGGCCTGGTCCCAGCCTGCCAGCGAAAGGCTGACGCTGCTCTGCTCTGCTTTTCCGCCAGGTTGCAGGACCTCACCCTCTACAACCCTGAGAGGACCATCACCGTGAAGGGTGCCATCGAGAACTGCTGCAGGGCTGAGCAGGAAATCATGAAGAAAGTTCGGGAGGCCTACGAGAATGATGTGGCCGCCATGAGTGTGAGTGCTGGATGGCTTGCCCTTTTCCGAGTCTGAGCAACAGCAGCTTGTGGGCACAGGGTGGCAGATGATCCTCCTGCCTCAGCCTCCCAAGTAGCTGGGACCATAAGCATGCTGTTGCCACATACCTGGCTAATTTTTCCATTTTTTTTGTAGAGATGAGGGTCTCACTATGTTGCCCAGGCTGGTCTTGAACTCCTGGTCTCAAGGGATCCTTCCACCTTAGCCTCACAAAGTACTGAGATTATAGGTGTGAGCCACTGGGCCTGGCTCATCTGATTTTTTTAAAGAGGAGTAGGGATGGGGTAATCAAAGACCAAAAAGGTTCAGAACCACTGAGTCCTAGAAGTCAAATGGAGCTCTGTCTCCACCCCTCTTTCTCATACAGGGGCATCAGTCACATGATGGGGCCATGTGTCTGTAGTCTGTCTCCTTCAGAGTGGACTGAGCAGCCAGAGAGGAAGGACTGCTGAGGGTGTACAGCGGGTGGGCTTCTCTGGTTGTGGGAGCTAGTTCCGTAAGAACATCCCGTTGCTCACCACTCCTCACCTGTGTGCACGTGGGCGTGTATGCAAGCATAAGGTCAGGCAGGTTTTTGTGCAAAAGCATGTCATTGTCATGTTTTTGGCTCACTCTTCCTGGGGCCACTCACCCTTCTGGTTCAGCCAGGGCCACCTCCAAGGGACCACAAGTTCCCGTCAGGATGAGCTGACCCCCTTCTCCTCACCTTTCTTCCTCAGCTGCAGTCTCACCTGATCCCTGGCCTGAACCTAGCTGCAGTAGGGCTTTTCCCAGCCTCATCCAGTGCAGTCCCGCCACCTCCCAGCAGCGTTACTGGAGCAGCTCCCTACAGCTCCTTCATGGTAGGTGGAAGGTCTCGTTACAGGGGAGCGCTCAGCCTGCGGTGGCCTCCCTCGAGGGGTCTGGATCCCCATGGGAGTCTGATGCCTGGGAAGTTTGCAGGGAAAGGGAGGGGAGCTCTCGCGGACATCCCTCCTCTGCATTCCTCCCAGCCCTGCATTCCTCCCAGGCGCTCTCCCAAGTGTCAGTTTTGCAGAGCAGGGCCTAGGGTACTGCGGGGTGCTGGCAGCTGTGTTCCCTCGCACTTGCTGGGCATGGGAAGAGGTAAAGAGCTCACAGCATCCCTTGGCAGCCCGAGTGGCAGGTGGGTGCCTGCACTCTTTACTTCTCAAGGATGTAAGCCGGGGAGTGGAGGGGCTTCTGGGCTCTGCCCCTTGGGCCCCTTGGTAATAACGTATCCTGTCCTGGCAGCAGGCTCCCGAGCAGGAGATGGTGCAGGTGTTCATTCCTGCCCAGGCGGTGGGCGCCATCATCGGCAAGAAGGGGCAGCACATCAAACAGCTGTCCCGGTTCGCCAGCGCCTCCATCAAGGTGACCTGCTCTGTGGGTTTGGGACGGGAGGGGGCTCCGCTTCTTCCACCCTCTATGTCTGCTCCCAGATTCCCATGGTCTTGAGAATTTGCATCTCGTGTTAAGGACCTTTCCCCGAGGAATGTCAATCTCCTCTCCTTTGGACTTTGCTTGGCCTCCATTGGATGCCTTCCGTGCCTCTGGGTTTTCAGGCAGGAGGCAGGGTGGTAGCACAGGAGAGCTTTGGACCTGCCACAGACCCGAGTTCAAATCCCAGCCCTCACCTCCCAGTAAGCTGTGTGACCCGAGCATCACTGTCCTGGTCAGTACAGTGCTATGAAACCACGCAGCCAAAGCCCCTGCCTCACAGTTTAACACTGGCTTAAGTGTTAGTTGTCTTTCAGCTTCCCTGGCTAGGGTCAGGGGAGAGAGAAGGGACAATCTGTTATAGTGAAATGAAGGTGCTTTTAAATTTCACAAACCTAAATCCAGTTGTTTCAGTGGCCTTAAAAGCTTCGGGAAAAGCTGCACTTGTTTCCCAAGTGGAGGTGCAGTCAGTGCCCTCCCCATCTCATCCGTGTCTGACTCTTGACTCCACGGAAGGCTCCCGAGAGATTGGGGAAAGGGGAGGGTGGAGGAGGCCCTACGTACAGAAACTGTCTCCGGAGCAAGTCCTTCTAACTGCCCTCTGCCCCCCTAACAGCTGGTGTGCGCGGGCAGTGACTTGGGCTTCCGAGTCTTGGTTCTTCCCCCAGTCTTCAGAATGGGCAGTGGGAGTAAGGGTGGTGGCAGGGAACTGGAGGAAGTGGAGATGCGGGGGGTCTCTTCCCGAAGAGGGGCCCTCTTTGACCAGCTATTTGCTTTGTAGATTGCACCACCTGAAACCCCCGACTCCAAAGTTCGTATGGTTATCATCACTGGACCGCCAGAAGCCCAATTCAAGGTTTTGATCTTTATTGTTTTTCCAAGCTGGATACGGGGAATTGAGGTTGGGTACTTCCCCTGAGTGCAGGAAAGGGGCTGGGGCAATTTCCCATTAACTGTCAAATCCTCGGCACATCTTTAAGCCTTCCCTGTGGGATATAGGGCTGCACAGCTACTTGGCAAGTTGGCATCAAACTTCATTCTTTTGACTTCCATTTCCCTTATCACTTCTTGAAGGTCAACACGAATTATGGGAAAGAAGGAAGTCTGAGGGCTGCTTCTTTGCACTCTGCCTTAGTTACTACGGAGGCATTTGATGTCAAATTCCTGTCTCTCCTTTATGTCCCTGCTACATTCTTAGCTTCTTGAACTTCTGGTTAGATAGCCAAAGAGCCAACACTTGACCTGACCTTCATGAGGATAGAGGACTGGGACAGCTCTCTAGGCCACTGTGCAGTGTCAAGCAGGCCTGCCTTCTGTGACCTCGATGAATTGCCATCCAGGGCCTTGAAACGCTAGTTGATGCCACGTCTAGATAAGTGCAGTCATTCCAGACCCCATAGGTCTGGTTTGTGGCTTGTGAATTATATTCCTCTGGGAAATAATTTTTTCCTCTGGGAAGTTTTTATTCAGTTACTCATAACTCACAATAATCTCCTCGCCAAGGTCTCTAGTATTACAGATAAGCAGGAGCACTGACAGGCTGTCCAGCTGAGCTGAGCCTTTCCCATTACCTGCCTTAGATGGTCGACCCACCTAGGATGAGGGGCCTGTGGGCCAGAGAAGGATGGGCTGGATCTTGGGGGCTGCACTGGCTGTTTACTGCTCTTCCCTTTTGTCACAGATACATGGCCTGCTCATTGACAATTACCTCCTCTTCCCAGGCTCAGGGAAGAATCTATGGCAAACTCAAGGAGGAGAACTTCTTTGGTCCCAAGGAGGAAGTAAAGCTGGAGACCCATATACGGGTGCCAGCGTCAGCAGCTGGCCGGGTCATCGGCAAAGGTGGCAAAACGGTGAGCCATCAGGGCCGGGCGAAAGCCCTGGGCCTTGGTCTCCAAACCCAGTGGCTCTGCTCTGGCCGCTGCTCCCAGTCCTGCTCAACCTTAGGACTCCTGATTTGCCCATTGACTTAATTCTTCTAACTCCCCTCCTGACTGTTCCGGTGTATACCCACTAGTCACCTGCCCCCTGCTCCGCCCTCCACCCCCACCCGTGCTTCTTGATGGCACCCTGAGCTTCTCTCTGGCCACCCCCAGGTGAACGAGTTGCAGAATTTAACAGCTGCTGAGGTGGTAGTGCCAAGAGACCAGACCCCTGATGAGAACGACCAGGTCATCGTGAAAATCATCGGACATTTCTATGCCAGCCAGGTACATATGGTGTTCCCCCATCGTGGGAGGATGGCAGGAGCCCAGGGGGCAGAGAAGTGGAGACTCCAGAGGTTGATCTGCAGAACTGTGACAAGTCCTGTGTCTTTGACCACGTCTACCTGCCTCTGGGCTGGGTCATTCCCCTCTTTCAGGTGCAGGAGTAGAATGAATAGATGACTTATACCCTCTTAAGGGAATGTGCTTTGACAATTTTCATGTATAGTATACATTATATATAGCTCTTATAATATATATGTTATACATTATTTATTAATGGTCTTTCCTGTTGTCTAACCTTAGTTCTTCCCTAACCCATGTTTGCGTTGGATATGAAATGAAATTGGTATTATCTATCACCTAGTCTTGATCATGGAATAATAATACACTAATGACACCGTGGATTGCGTTTTTCAGATACAGTCCCTTTGCTGTTCCCAGAATGACTGCTCGCTCCTGGTTTCTGTTCTTACTCCTTTCCTCTTTCTAGAGCTTATCATCACTGCCCAGCAATGGAGAGAGACGCTAGAGCCCAGAATGGAAGGCCAATATCAGGTTCAAATTTTGCTGAACCTCAACGAGGCCGGGAAAGGGTGATTGACAGCTAATGGGGTTCTCCTAAAATCTAACCCCCCCCGCCCCCAGTGCTAAAACTGGAAAGAGACTTTGGAGACTATTGAATGCAGTTCCTACAGTTCATAAAGGATCACAAGTCTCTGTAGGCTTGTGGCCACTTGAGGCTGCTCAGGCAATCCAGGGCAGAACTTGGCTCCCATGCATCAAGAATGTGGGTTTCAGAGCAGGGGGCTTTGAGCTCAAACCCCACATAGCCTCTCTGCTGCATGACCTTGCACAAGTAACTTTCTCTGATAACTCTTTGAGAAGTATTAATAAGAGCCACAATAATAATATCTAACACGTATGGGTGCGTTGATACACCCAGCACTGTTGTATATACACAGTTTATATATATTAACTCATTTAATCCTCACAACAACCTCATTTTACAAATGAGGAACATGAGACTTAAGAGAGTAAATGATGTATCCACGGGTACACAGAGCCAGGCTGTATGAAATACTGAAGCAGTTTCAGCTGATCAGAGTGAGGATTGAATGAAAAACTAAAACATTAAGCCAGGGCTCATGGAACTCATGTAAATACTGATTTCTACATTCTTCCAACCCAGATCAACTTTCTCTTTAACCAGGATAGCAAACACCCAATTTATAGAGTGAAGACATTGTGGTAAATTTCCATGAAACGAATCCCATTTTGCAGTTGATTTCCCTTGTAAAACTTCAGTCATAGGGCAAAAACTTTCAAGAAGGAAAGAGTTAAAGACCCTGATCTTTTGATATTTCATCCATTTTCTCAGTGGAGCTCATGCCATAGCTGGGCATTGTATTCATTCCCTTTCCTGGGGTATTTACACGAATAGTGGATTTGTGATGACCTCTCCTCATTGATGACCCTGTACTACATTTAATATGCTAATGTCTAGAAACTCTAGGTGTTCCATTTTGGGCTTAGTAACATGTGTTGACTTTGTCACGTTTTAGATTTCGATAGGTGGGTTTATGCTACTGTCTCTCTAACCCCTGCCGCCCCCCATCGTCACCCCCAGCCACTTCCCCAACCTTGTTGTATTATCTAGTGGATACTCCGGCTCTGCCAGAGGCAAAGAAACTTAAAGTCGCTCTGACCCTCACTTTTCCTCTTTCTTCTGAGTCCTGTGTATCTGCTCTGTTGTTGCGGGTGCCTGGATCACAATGGCCTCTCCCTGCGGAAGGCTATCTCCTTGGAGATCCTCACACCCTTCCTCTTGCCTGTTCTTGCTGCAGATGGCTCAGCGAAAGATCCGAGACATCCTGGCCCAGGTCAAGCAGCAGCACCAGAAGGGACAGAGTAACCAGGCCCAGGCACGGAGGAAGTGACCAGCCCCATCCCATCCCATCGTGTCCAGGACAATGGGCAGCAATGGAGAGCGCACTCTCCCCGGCAGGCCTGAGAATGAGTGGGAATCCGGGACACCGGGGCTGGGCTGTAGATCAGGTTTGCCCACTTGCTTGAGAAAGATGTTCAGTGAGGAACCCTGATCTCCGCGCCCCAAACACCCAACCAGTTGGCCCAACACTGCCTACCCCTCGGGGTGTCACCATTGAAATTCTAGCTCAGGGTGCTTTTAAACGTGGATTGTTTAGGGAAGTTCCAGTGGGAAGAGAAATAAAATTTCCTTCAGGTTTTTAGAACATACAGAGGGGTGTTTTGATCAGCCTCAGAGGATGGTTTCTTTCTTGACCCTAAAATCTTTCCAGCCTTCTTCCCCCTGTTTGGTTAATTGATTAAAATACCTCCATTCTCATGCGCTGACATCACCTCTTCCTATGTTGTTTTATCTTTATGGCTACCAGAAAAAATGCATTGCTTTGCTTACTGTATTGATTCAAGGGAGAAGACCCATCTGTATCTGTTGTTTAATTTCAGTCCCTCCCTAACCAGTCAGTAGGTACAGTAAGGAATAAGGAAGGGGAAGAAATGGGGAGAAAGATGTTTAAAATGTATCATAATCCACGTTTAAAAGGAGTGCCCTGCTGGCTGATCTATTTCAGATCACCATCTTGAAAAATTGGCACAAGTGAAATCCCCCCACTCCACTGGGGCTTCTCCACCACAGTCATGGCTCTGCCCGTGCAGGTCCCACGTCATGTCCAGGTGCACGTAGGTGGTGTTGATTGCTCACTGGGTAGGGGCTGACCGCTGTCCCTGATTCCCATCATTCTCAGGCGGATTTTATATTTTTTTAAAGTCTATTTTAATGATTGGATATGAGCACTGGGAAGGGGACACCGACTCCCCTTGATAAAGTCTCAGTTCCATGGAGGACTTGAGTGGCCCCAAAGGCTGCCACGGCGCCCTCACCCCAGCCCATTTGTTCCCGTAAGGGCTGGTTCCCAGAGGCAGGGCTTGGTGGGCACTCAGCCATGGCACTGTTTCCTTGGTGGTGGTGGGACTTGGAACCCAACCCTGAGCTCCCCGTAAAGCTAAAGTCCATCATCTGGCAAATTCAGTAAATTGGAGAGTACTTGCTTTTGTTTTTATATTCTAGAGGAAAATTTAACCGATGGCTTCTGCCTCCATGAATCATTTATTGGCATGATGAAAAGTGTGTCTAAAAAGCAAAATTCAGAATACCAGCAGCATTATACACAAAGGGGTAAATAAGCTTAATTTATTAATTTCCCAGGCTCAATAAGATCCGTTGGAAGTTTAGCCCTGGTGGAGGACAGCAGCTATCAGTTAAATGAGGTTAGGCCTCCCCTCCTAATATACTGACAATGCATATTAGCCAGGTAATGCACTTTAGCTTCCCTGGACAATACTAGCAAGTGTGCTGGGAAGGGAGGAGGGCCTCTCTCTACACGTGGGAAAGCCCATGCGTGGAGTTCCCTCCCTTCCAACATTGCAACAACAACAACAACAATAACAACAAGACAACCACGACGTGTGGGCGGAGTCAGGCAATGCTGTGTGCGAAGTAAACTACCTCAAGGTATGAAGTTACCTCAGCATTTATTTTCCTTTTTGTTCCCCCAACCCCATTTTTTAAAAAAAAAAAAAATTTTTTTTTTGATTTTTTTCTTTTTGCAGCTTGCTGATATTTTATATAAAAAGAAAAGCAAAGCAAAAGAGAAGCTGATAGTCTTGAATATTTTATTTTTTTAATGAAAAGAAAAAAATGAGAAAGTTATGTTTCATAATTTCTTACATGAGCCAGCTAACCCTTTAGGAACTCTCTATGGAGAACAGGACCGGTGGGAAAGGCAGTGGGGGCTGGCCCCTTGGGAGGAGGCTGGAGCTGAGAGGGAGGCCCAGGCCTCGGAGAGCCCAGAGAGGTAGAACCGAGAGCCTTGCCTGGCTGTGATCTCTGGTTTCTGGAGCCCCAAGCTGCTGGCCTCTGCTGAAACATCCTACTCAGTAGGACTAAAAGGCCTAGCAGAGCTGTGGGCTCTCCGTGGCTAAACAACAATGTCCAACAACCAATTGGCCCTTGGACACCCCTCTTTCCTCCTTTGGTTAAACAGCATGCCAGCCGGTTTTTCCCACCAATGGTGCTGTTGAGATATTTAAAAATATTGCCTCCGTTTTATCGAGGAGAGAAATAACTAGAAAAATATACCCTTTAAAAAAATCTATTTTTCTCCGTCTAAAAATATGGGAGCCAAGATTCTGTTCATGGAAGAAAGACAAGGCCACCCTCTCACCCTCAGAGAGGTCCACCTGGTTTGTCGTTGCAATGCTTTTCATTTTTTTGTTATTATAACGTTTCATTTCAATTCCATCTCAATCTTCTTCTTAGTCTATATCCATAGGCCAAGGGGCAAACAGACACTCAGCTAACTGCCCCCCTTCTGTCTCCCTGTCTTCTTTAGATTGATTTGTTTGATTTTTAAAAGTGGACCCAAACTTAGGGAATTCTTGATTTAGGGTGGTGGTGGGTGGCAAGGAGAGGCAGGGGATATGGGGACGTGACTGGGACAGGTTCCTGCCTTGTTATGGTCTTACCACTTTCTCCCTGTGACTTTCCTTTGCAGCCCCCAGAACTAACTGGCCCAAAGAGAGGAGAAGCAGGAAAGCATTTAGGGATCCTATCAGGCCAGTAGAATTAAGCCTCCCCACCTGTCCCAGCCACAAAAAGGGTCTCCCAACGTTCCATCTCTGGCTCTATATGCTTTATCCCAGGATGAAGCAGATAACATTCAGACATCGGCCATTTAGTGATTTAAAGCGAATTTCCAGCAGCAAGCATGCTTTGATATCTGGTTCAAACTATCATCAGAAACAAAGAAAAAAAAATCCCACAGTACCTGAAATGTGATTGTTGCAGTGTTCAGTTTCCTTGGGGACCTGCTTCCTTCACACCTTAAGCCCGAGTCCTTTTCGTTTGGCTGATTCAGCAAGCAGAAGAGACCAGGAAGTGGGGGGCGAGGGGTTAGAAAACTTCACTTGCTTGGATTAGGAAAGGCTCCACTCATCGCTGATTTTTGCCCAGCAGGAAGATCGTGGAAGTTACACTACCAGGAAGCAAAAGGAATACGGTTTGGTGATTAAGGGTTAGCGGGAGGAAGGGCCTGCTTGGTGGGGGCATCCTTTGCCCTTAGGCTAGGTCTTGGGGCAGCGCCTTGCCCTCCTCAGCACCTCCATTTCCGCATCCTCGGTGAGATAACGAGCTATTGTGAAAAGCACTTGGGAGATTTGGATGATTTGAGAAAAGCGACTTGAAAAAAAAAAACCATTTCTGTGCTCTAAGATATATATGTGTGTGTGTGTGCTACATATATATTTTTAAGAAAGGACCATCTCTTTAAGATATATTTTTAAATTCTTTGAAATACAAAGAAAACCAAAATGGTTTGATTCACTGACTTACTTTGAAGCTGCATCTGCCAGTTACACCCGATGGCTTTAATCCCCTCTAGGGTCTGGTTGCCTTTTGCAGTTTGGGCTGTGGACACTCAGCTCCTGGGAGGGGTCTGGGCAGGAGAGAGCCATCTGTAAGGACAGGGAGTTTTATCACCTTTCCTCTCTTTCCTCCCCTCCTCCCAGTCCGAACCAATCTTTTTTCCCTTTCCCCTGAGCTCTCCACTTCTGGGGGCAGTTGGGAGCTATTCTCTTCCCTATGCCTCGCTATTGGCAGGAAAGACCCCATGTAAAACCCAGAGGACACTGGAGGGGGACACTCCAGTTGGTTCTATGTGTCCGTTTTCCTCTGTGCCAAAGACAGACAGAGGCTAAGAGAGGCTGTTTCTGAATTGGAGCGACAGCCGGCTTCTGACACACCTGGGCTGTGTGAGGGGAAGGGCTCCTGGAAGTGGTGTGAGCTAAGGGCGGGGCCCTCCCCTTCCGCGGCTCCTAGGGGACGTGGCAGCGGTCATGCCAAGGGCTAAGTAGCCCAGAAAAGGGTCCGGGTCCATTGGCTCCTGGTTGCACTTTGGGGACGAGGGAAAGTTTGGGGCTCCAAATAGCTCCCCCTTGCGGGACTGCTCGGTCCCCTGCCCCCACTGCAGAGATGGCGCTGCGCGTTCCCTTCAGGCCTGGCAGACGGGCAGTGAGGAGGGGCCTCAGTTAGCTCTCAAGGGTGCCTTCCCCTCCTCCCACCCCAGACATACCCTCTGCCAAACTGGGAACCAGCGGTGCTACACAACTACCTCACAGAGCCCCAGAGGGCCGCTCCAGCCTTCCTGATCCGCGAGAGACGCTGGTGCCTCTAGGCAGCCCTTCCTCCCGCCTCTGGTGGAGGGGGGGTCTCCTTTCTTTCCCCTGAAGTGTTTATGGGGACGTCCTAGTGGCTTTGCCATTCAAACCACAGGCTACCAGTAGAAGGAAAACAGCACAGCCTGACACAGTAATTGCAGGAAGATTGAAGAAAAACCCTCATCAATGGCAGGGGACATAAAAGCCATTTCCCTTACAAATACTCGATGATTTAGATGCAGAACATTTCTCTTGTATTCAGACTTAGAGTAACACCAGCTGAAACCTTCAGTTTCTTTCCTTTGGATACGTAAGGCTTCTCTGTGGGGTAAAGGACGAGGGAGGAGACCTCATGTCTGAAGGGGGACGTGGAGAGTGAGAGCCCCAACCCTGACCCTCGGGCCTGTGCACGGCTTTGGGGCACAGTCTGACGGTGCCAATACTGGCACCTTAGTATGGTGGAATCCGGACTGACAAGACAAAAGAAAAAGGATTTTTGTTTTCTTGAAGGAAATAGCAGGAAGCTCCTCGGGAGCACGTGTTTTGAGTAACCACAGGTAATGGATGCTACGAGTATAAATGGATTAACTACCTCAATCCTTACAATAAGATTGGAACCAAGGGCAGGGACTCATGCTTAAGGGTGTGAATCCCAGCCAGGAATGAGTTGAGGCTTGTGCCACAAAAGGTTTGTCCTTGGGGAACAGGCAGGCCTGCCAGGATCCCCCCTCGTATCGTTTGGGTTGGAAGGGCTGGCCATTAGGTCCCCCTTTCTGCCTTCCCTGCCCAGGTTTCACCCCCTTTGCCTCCAGCTTGCCCCTCACTCACCTACTATAGCTTTGTCGGACCAGGTGGTGAGGAAAGGAATCGCCACCTCCCTTCTGCCAGAGGGGGCTGGCTGGAGGCGAGACCTGGGGCTTAGCCTGGAACCACCACTCAGCCCCAAAGTCACGAAGCCTGGGGAAGCCAGACCCGAGACCTCTTTGACAGGGTTTCTTTGAGATCCTCCACCTCTGCTGTTTCCCTTCCCAGTCTTCAAGGGGACAGTGGCTCTAGAAGGACGAGAGATGGTATGGGATCCTTTGCCCTGGGAGAGTCTGAGGCCCAGTCCTTCGGACTCGCCCAGGCCGTCTTTGTAGTCGGGGGAGTTCCACTGGGCCACCCAGCCCCTCCCCACCCTCTAATGGACCTCCTCATAGAAGCCCCATTTCACTTTTGTTTTATCTACCTCTTAGCAAAACAATAGAGATAAATTAGGTAGTGGCAACTCCACTTGCTTAGGTTAGGGGGGGAAAAAGATTTCTTTTTCCAAAGGAAAAAAAAAATATTACCTTACAAATACTTTCCAAAAAATTAAAAAAAAAAAAAAAACCAAAAAAAAAATTTTTTAAAAAGAGGGAGACATTTTCCAGTGACCACTGGATTGTTTTAATTTCCCATACTTTTCCAAACTCTTCTCTGTTTTCTTTCTTTTTTTTTTTCCCCCATAAATAAGTTTCACTCTTTGGCAATTTTTTTCACTTGTTTAAGATAACCTGCTAGCCCTTCTAACAGGTACAGCTTTCACAGCCGCCCCTGGCTCGTCTCACCCCCACCCCATCCTGCCAGTGAGTCCTACCTGTGCTTCTCTCCCCTTCACCCTCCTGGCCAGGTGACTCCAGTCACCGCCCCACCCCCTACCCCCAAGAAAGGCTCTGCGTGTGTTAGGGGTGCTTAACTCTTGACTCACCCTTTCCCCCTGTGGGGGCTGGGGAGCCACTTGTAACATTTCTGTGCAAATCCTTATGTAAGCCACTGCTATGTAAAGGCGCATTCAGAATGAATTTCAGCAGATGATGAGTTATCGTAATGAATAAACTTCCTCTACTATCATTTGGATTCTTTCCTTTCTCCAGAATCTTGATCCTGGTCCCTGAAACCAGAGTGAGTCAAAAGAGCCTCCTTCCCCGAGGCAAAGTGGATTGGTGTGCAGTCCTGGGACGTCACTTATTCAGGAGAGGGAAACATTTATTTTATGGATGCAAATCGGGAAGGGCTGGAGGGCTCCTGCTTGTGACTCTTTTTAAAAATGACTGCTACCTTCTGTAATTGCAACAACTTTGAAAATTGTATTTTACTGGAAATCTGCCAGCCATCACCACCCTGATTTTGATTGTACCCTTCCTCCCATCCTTTATCTGTTCTCGACTTTGTTGGGGGAGGTGGGGCAGCTGGCTCAGACTTTGGAGTTTTTCTTTTGATGGATGAACGAACACTCCAGTTCTCTTTCCCGTGAAGGTTGTTTCAGCCATAAACCACTTCATTTCGCTATTTCAATTTCAAAATAAAAGGAAACTTATATTGAAAGCCGAGTGTGTGTGTCTCTCAAGTGGTTTTGGGTGGGACCCGAGACACTCAGACCTTCAGAGGTCAGCTTCCACATGAGAACTCTGTTCCCAGGAGTTTGAGGTTGCAGTGAGCTATGATGATGTTACTGTACTCTAGCCCAGGGCGACAGAGCGAGACTCTCCAAAAAGAAAAAGAAAAAGGTAGCTAATACCTCAGCTGTTTGTGCTGTTGTCTCGGGCCATGGGACAATATTGGTGAGCAAGAGCAACACCATTCCTTTCCCTGATTGACCATGACCATGATGAGTCTGGTCAACAGGGAAGGAGATGGTCCTAAGCTTTACCTTCTGGGACTTGGCCTGAAGAATTCTAGGGGGTGGAGACAGATGGTAAAAGTCTTGATGTATGCCATGTCTTTTTTTTTTTTTTTTTTAAATTAGCCATAAAACCAACTGGGCTTTATGCCTTCTGGAGGAGACAGTGTTGACAATCTTTTCTAGCTCTTTTATGGTGACTGATTTTCCATCTCTTCTCCAACCACAGCAAGTATCAGAGGTTGTGGCTATTTCATGGGGAACATCTGAAAAGAAACAGCCACAGGGATGTCATAGGATTGCATGTCATGGGGAGCTTTGGGATTCGAAGGGCTCTCACAGGTTGTGATGTCTGGGGGAGCATAGCTGTCACTCAGGTAGGCATTGCTGGGCTTGGCCACCTTTAGGTAGACAACATCATACGTGTTCTTCAGGGCTGCCACAGCATCCTCGTGCATGACATCCTCCAGGCCCACACTGTTGACCGCCAGGATCTTGTCTCCAATCTGCAACCTCCCATCCTTGTGGGCGGCACCCCCTTCGATGATCTTTGTTACATAGATGCTGTTATCTCCCGGAATGTGCTGGTTCCCTACGCCCCCTGCGATGCTGAAGCCAAGACCTGGATGGTGGGGAGGGCAGAGGTGGGTGCCCAGGTGCTTAGGAAGCAGGCCTTGGGGCATAGACTGTTGTGATGGGGTTAGGGACAAAATGAGTTACTACCTTTAGGCCCCTTGATGAGCTTGATCTCCATGACCTTCTCAGCTGGGGGCTTCCGGCGCATGACATAGAGGCGGACGATGGAGCCTGCCTCTTTGAGGGCCTCCACCGCCGCTGAGTGGGTAACCTCCCGCACGTCCACTTCATTTACAAACAGGATGCTGTCGTTGACCCTGAGGCGGCCATCTTGGGCTGCAGCCCCGCCAGGAATGATCTTGGTGATGAAAATGGATGGGTCGTCACCGATGTGTGGGTTATCAGTGCCACCTGCGATGCTGAAGCCCAGACCTGAGTTACCCCTTTCCAATGTGATCTCCTCGTATTCCATCTCCCCCTCGGTCCCATTCACTTGCAACTCATATCCTGGGGCTTCTAGGGTGTCTGTGTTGACGATCACGGGGGGAGAATTGGCCGGCCCTTGGGGGTTGCTGCAGCTCCGAGGCTCCGAGGGCCGCACTGGGGAGGGGGCCGCCAGGGTCTCCTACCTTGAGGGGGGAGAGGTGGGCGTGGCCCACGACCCCGTGGACGGCCTCGAGGTGGGACAAGTTCCTCTCCGCCACGTGCACCAGCTCGGGGGCGTTTACCTGGTTGGGGAGGTGGGCCGGGCTGTGCTCCAGAGGGGGCGTGTCTTCATCTTGGTAGCGGTATTTCTTGCATGCCCCAGGCAGGGACCAAAGTCAGGCCCTTTAACTGGAAGGTACTTGGCATCGCCCCCCAGGCAGGACAAGGCTAAGCTTAACCAGCTCTTCCTTCACTGGCCTCCATGGTTCCCAAGCAGTCAGCAAAGCTATGCCATGTCTTTTATGCTGTGTGGCTGTGGCTCTGGCCCTCCACTCCTGTCCTGCCATCTCCGTAATCTTGAGGAACTGACCTCTGGCTTGCCCAGAGGTCTTCCACCCCATTCAGTGGCTTAGTATGCTGACCCTCCACTGTCTACGCTTAAATCTGTTAGGGAAGGTCTGCCCTGGTCCAGAATCATATTGCTGACAATGAGACCTTCCCACATTCCTTGTCCTGTGTAGGGAGTGTGGCTTTCCTCCAGGCCCCATTTCATTTTTGTGTGTTTTTAAGGGATGGGGTCTTGCTATGTTGCCCAGGCTAGAGTGCAGTGGCTATTCACAGGCACCATCATAGTGTACTACAGACTAGAACTCCTGCGCTGAAGCACTCCCTCCTCAGCCTCTCATGTAACTGTGACTCCAGGTGCATGCCAGCTTCTAACGGTCAAGTTCCAGTTATGACTGAATCTACCCATTGGCCACTTTTCCATTGCTTCGAATCTGGTATATATTGCCATCTCCTGGAAAATGTGTTTTTCATTCTCTCATTCCTAACCATTCCAATTTGCTAGGTAATTCTTTGGTTTATTTCCCATCATTCCTCTTACAAATTCACTTGTTTTTCCATCCCAGCCAACACTTTGCCATTCCACACCGTCCTACTCCTAACAGATGTCAAGTTGTGTCTGCAGCCTGGACTAGTCCCTGAGGCTCAGCACTATCAATCCATCCCATGATTTCCAGTCCTTCAGCTGTGGGAGTGGAACCTGAGGCCGTAGAAATGGTGAGTCAGTTTGAACCTGCTCTGAAATGGTGGAGTCGGCTCTGAAAGTTGTGGAACCTTTTATCCAGGGCTCCCTGTTGAGGATCTGTGGGTGGGACTTCAGTCTTGTTTTTTTTTTTTTTTTCTGAGACAGAGTCTCACTTTGTTGCCCGGGCTAGAGTAAGTGCCGTGGCGTCAGCCTAGCTCACAGCAACCTCACACTCCTGGGCTCAAGCAATCCTTCTGCCTCAGCCTCCCGAGTAGCCGGGACTACAGGCATGCACCACCATGCCCAGCTAATTTTTTCTATGTATTTTTAGTTGTCCAATTAATTTCTTTCTATTTTTAGTAGAGACGGGGTCTCACTCTTGCTCAGGCTGGTTTCGAACTCCTGAGCTCAAACAATCCGCCTGCCTCAGCCTCCCAGAGTGCTAGGATTACAGGCGTGAGCCACCGCGCCCAGCGGGACTTCAGTCTTGATCCCCAGTTGACCCTCAAATGACATGGGTTTGAACTGCATGGGTCCACTTATATGTGGACTTTCTTCTTCCTTGGCCACCCCGGAGACAGCAAGACCAACCCCTCCTCTTCCTTCACCTCCTCAGCCCACTCAATATGAAGGTGACAAGGATGAAGACATTTATGATGATCGACTTCCACTTAATGAATAATAAGTATGTTTTGTCTTCCTTGTGATTGTCTTAATATTTTCTCTAACTTTATTATAAGAATACGGTATATAATACATATAACATGCAAAATATGTGTTCATTGATTATTTGTTACTGATAAGGCTTCAGGTCAACAGTAGGCTATTAGTAGTTATGTTTTGGGGGAGTCAAAATTTACATGTGAATTTTCAACTGTGCAGAGGGTTAGTACCTTTAATCCCCATGTTTTTCAAGGGTCAACTGACCTTTACATTGGAGCATGATGCTACTAACCGTCTTTCTAGTTCATCAGTGAAAAATAATGCAGAGAGAAAAAATGAGAAGAGAACTTACGATTGCCCTGCTAGAGGTCATGGGAGTATGGACCACCACCCATCCTTGAAATCATTTAAATAGGTCCTAAGCTAGACAAGGGGGATATGTGCTCCTGGCTCTTGGGGACAGTTTTACCTTGAGTTTTATTTGCAAGAGCAGGGTTGAACAGAAACCAGCTGTCCCAAACAGACTGGGTGAAGGTGACTAAATCAGCATTACAAGAAAGGTAGGCAAACTAGTGAACTCTTCTTTTGAGGAAAGAGACAAGAAAGTGCCTCTGCTTTTCAAGAAAATATGGTGCATGGGTGTGTGCTCTGGAAACAGAAAGCTCCCAGGGGTGGCTGACAAACTGACTCCATCAGCTGCCTCCAAACTTCCCTGCCGCAGTAGGCCACTCCATGTGACCAGGAAGAAGTTGGCTGCCACACAGTTGGGGAAGCCACCCAGGGGCTAGAAGAAGCTCACTTGTTGCTGAATACAGTAACCATTCTCACTCTGTTCCAGTAGTAGCTTAACGGGTTTCTGGCCACACCTGCCTCCTGCCTTCTTGCAAAAGGCAGAAGATCTGTGTCAGGGAACTCCTTTCTAAAGTGTTTTTGCACTATCCTCCCTTCCTTCATCCCTTCCTCTGATGTGGTGTGAACACCTAACGTGTCAGGCAATTTATAATGTTCCAGATGTGTGGTTCCTTGCCCATGAGGAGCTTAGAGTCTACTTGGGAAGGACAGCTAATGAAACATCTTGGAATATCACGGAGTGCCTATGTAGAGCTATGGAAAACGAGGGAGTGATTGATGAATCACTTGGGACAGAGGGGCTTGGAGGGCAGGAAGTGGGCAAAGAGCTTTCCAGGTGGAAGGGAGTGATTCATCTTTGTGTTGGCAGAATTTAGCACAGGGCCCAGCAGATGGGTGCTCAACACGTGTTGGATGAGAGGTAGGCAGGGGCTAGTGAGAAGTCCACTGTGGCTGGAGAGAGGCTGCCGCAGAGGCAGTATGGCTTAGGACCTCGAGGGCCTAGTGTTCTGCACTATGTCATCCTGGAGGCTACCGAAGTAGCCAAGGTATTGGTGACTGTAGCTACGGGAGCAGATGATAGGGCAGGAACATACTGAGGAGACCAGAGAAATGGTCATGCCTCTGAGGTTCAGAGCTTCAGAAATGAATGGACTACAAAAGTGAACACAGGTTTGTGGGAGAAGCTATTGAGTTCGGTTTTGAACATACAGATAAAAAGGTCCAGTAAAGCATGGGAACTGTGAGTTCCCAAGTGCATTCATTTATTTAAGATAAATATATTGTGTACTTACTATACACTAAACATTATCCTAAGGACTGAGTATGCACAGTTTAGTCCACCAAATAATAATGATTAACATATACTAACTGCCAGGAAAAGTGTTCATGCATTACCTCATTGAGTCTCCAGAACAAATCTACTGAATGGACCTTTTCCATGTTACAGACCGTCTCAACGCCACCTCTCTGCCCCATAGCATATAGTTTATTTCTTTTCTTATAGCATATATTCCATTGTATTTTATCTTCAAAATGCGAATCAATAATAATAACAACTGAGGACACGTAGAATAACAATATTCTATATCACCTGCCCATAAACACTGGGAAGTCCAGCGGCTAGAGGTAGGATTGGCGCCTTCAGGTGTAAAAAGTGAGTTTGAGGCTGAGTTAATGGGCACTTAACACCAAAAGTGAGTGCAAAGCTGTGTTCACCGTGCAAGTTGCTCTCTCTACTTCCAGCTACCGCATAATCCCTGTGGTACCTGTGTTAAAACTTGGTCTGTGTTTCTGTAAAAAAAGGTCCTATTAGAGGCAAAACACTTGCAGTGCCGGGCGCCGTGGCTCACGCCTGTAATCCTAGCACTCTGGGAGGCCGAGATGGGAGGATCATTTGAGTTCAGGAGTTCGCGACCAGCCTGAGTAAGAGCGAGATCCCATCTATACTAAAAATAGAAAGAAACTAGCTGGACAACTAAAATATTTAGAAAAAATTAGCTGGGCATGGTGGCGCATGCCTGTAGTCCCAGCTACTTGGGAGGCTGAGGCAGGAGGATCGCTTGAGCCCAGGAGTTTGAGGTTGCTGTGAGCTAGGCTGATACCACGGCACTGTAGGCCAGGCAACAGAGCGAGACTCTATCTCAAAAAAACAAAACAAAACGAAACAAAAACCACTTGCAGTGCAGAGGGAAAAGAAAAGGATAAAGTAACTTTGCAAGTGAGGCTCCAGCCCATTCACTGTATGAACTATTGTAAAAATGTGTAATTAGTACTGAAACGTGCTACAGGTTTGAACTGTGAATGTGCATAAAGTGTTGGAAAGTTCCTCTGGTGTCCAAACTTTTCACTCTGTAATGATGCCTGTGGATTGGCAAGTTAAAGGTCTTATTCTGAGTGGCTGTGACTGACTGCTAGTAGCAGCAACCATAACCCATAAGCCCAACAAAACTCTGGACCTGCTTGCCAAGTGAAGTGTCTGGAAACAATGTAGGTGGGTTTATAACACCGAATTTCTCTGGCAGTCAAGGAAAATCACTTCCGTCTTTTATAAAGTAAGAAACTCTATGTTCCTGATACAAAATTTGTAACTCCCACAAAAGTTGGCTAAAGAAGGCCTGTTTGTCTTGTTGTAAAAGAGGCTGTATTAGTTTCCTAAGGCTGTTGCAACAAATTACCATGAAGTCTGTGGCTTAGAACAAAGTTCTGGAGGCCAGGGGTCCAAAACTGAGGTGTCCGCAGAGTTCCTTCTGTAGGTCCTCAGGGCTAATCCATCCTATGTCTCTCTCTTGGCTTCTGCTGGTAGCCAGCAACCCATGGCTTCCATTGGCTTATAGACACATCACTCCACTCTGCCTCCATCCCCACATGACCTTCTTCCCTGTGTCTCTGTCTTTCTGTCTCTTATAAAGACACTTGTTGGATTAAGGGCCCACTCTAATCCAGGATGATCTCATCCCAAAATCCTTACCTTAATATCTGCAAGAACACCTGTGCCAAATAAGGCACATTGTAAGGTCCTAGGTGGGCATATCTGTTTTTTTTTTTTTGAGACAGAGTCTCACTCTGTTGCCCAGGCTAGAGTGAGTGCCGTGGCATCATCCTAGC